CCATCATCGTCATAGGTTGGCGCAGGAGCGATGACGGCCGCGGGGAATGTGTTTATGCTGATAACAGACTTTCACAGCATTAACCGTACTCTCACCTCCTTGATTTATTCTCGATCTCTCAACAAAATAGTATCAAGAAGACTGACGGCAGAACAAGACGCGAATATTGATAGAGCAAAACGCCTCGGTGAGTGTATCTACTGGGGCCTCAAATGGGTATGTATGTATTACAGCACCTACTTGCAAATGTTAAGTAGGTTGCATTTTCGGCAATCGTCCAGCTTTTTGCACGCCTACGGGTGCCACACACGGCGTGCCCAGCAGGCAACACTCAACTTTTTTTACCCACGAAGGATTGGAAAGTCTCACTAAAAACTACAATTATATATTTAGGTGTGAGTGGGTACACACAACTACTTTGCAGCAGATGCGGTCAGAGTCACCATCGGACAGGAGTTGTATTAATTTTTTCCAGGCCAATCGCTCATATTAGTTTGCACCCGGTCCTATGTAAGGACCACAGAAGTATTGGCGGCAGTGGAAGAAGTAGCAGCATTTTCAATTATTAGTATGAAGAGCTGTAATAATAACAATGGTAGCAGAGACTAATCGGAGAGTGCAGTCAGTTCAATCTGTGTCTTGTTTTGTGGAGTAGCTGCAATGGCCTCTATGGCACTCCCGTGTACACGGGAACATGCCTAGCAAAGTGTGCTGTTGTGACGCCCATTGGAGTGTTGGCCGCGCCAGCCGCCTGCGCCCCCAGCTCCAGTCTTGTCCACTTTTTGGACACCAGGTACAGGTATGGGCATGGTGAGAGCGAGAGAGAGTGGGGTAGATTCCACGCGAGTCTACTTTCACCAAAAACCGCGCGTTGAGTCTGTTGTAAATGTGGCCAAAGCTGCGATTTTGCCGTCTACTTTACGCATTGTAAGAGTCCCCAATGAAGAATACAACAAGAAGTGGACAAAGCAGAAGTCCTTGAGAAAATCTAGTAGAGAGTTTTTAAGGCAAGCGAGCGCGTGTACGAGATTGGACCAATTACATTTTGGTCGAAATTAAGCAGCGATTTCGTTAGCTTTGTGACTCATGTAGTTGGTGCGTTGGAGTCTTGAGCTTGGGCGCCTCTACGCGCATCACCACGTGCACTTTGTGTGGGCGGACCGGTGGTCTGGCATTCGAACGGCTCTTCAGTGCGGCGTGCACTCGCAGTTAAGCTGGGCCCTAACAGAGTCACCGCCTCTGCCTTCAGATTGCTGAAGCTCGTGGTGGTCATCATCGAAACCGTCTGTCGAACTGACTTTAGGCAGCAATGCAACTCCAAAAAGAATCTTCAAATACAACATACGTCAGCTTACTTTTCACATATATGCATGCATGTCGGTAAACATGTAAACTCAGTAGGTAACTCATTAAGAATTCTCACCAGTTCCTTCCGCATGTGCCTCCTGTTAGGACAGTAGCCCAACCAAGTGCTAGCAACATTTGGAGGTTTTCCTGAAGCGTCGAGCCTAGCCAAGTGTCTTTGTCTGTTAGCTCTGACCGCATACAGGCGAGGACTGTCCACGCGAGATGACCTTAATATCTGGAAAGGACACAGATGCACGCGCTTGCTCGCGCGCGCCACTGGTCGCAGTTGTCCCAACGCGCCAATAAGGCTTAAGGCGAACGCGCACTTGACACTCTCCTATAAGACAGTGTCACTTCTGAAACAGGGAGAGTTGCGTCACACGCGAGGACTGCGAGGACACGCACGTCCACTCCCAATTCCTGGGTTTGACC